GTTTAAGATTATATTGTAAATTACTCCACCACCATTCTATCGGTGTATAGGGACGCATGAGCCATTCCTCGTTTTGGCTTGAAGAAAAAGACAAACACGAAAATGACAATAGGACCGAAAGCATCAATGAGGAAAATGAAAATGGATGAGTACATTATGTATTGACATGCATAAAAGGAATAATGAAGAAACGAGAAGAATCATGAAAATGGATGAGTACATTATGTATTGACATGCATCAAAGGAATAAATAAGAAACGAGAAGATTATATATAGTATTATTATTATACCATTCATACGTAGTACGAAGTACTCCGTAATTAATAGCATAAAAATAAATGTAATTCTCACTTTTTTTAAACCATTGTGATCATTCTAATTATAGTTATAATTTTGATTATGAATGTGGAAAATAGCTTAAATTGAATGTTAATTGTTATGCTTTTAGATGTTGAATTTTTTGTTGGATTTTTGTAATCATTGTTTATTATTTATTTCATAGTTGATTTTTTATTATGCGTTGCCTTTTTAGATTTCTATTTTTTGTTGCTAGTCCAAAAAACTAACAATAGAAAAATATCAACACAGATAAAAGAACAACATATAATGCTAATTAATTTGCATTCTTGAAAATATACAAACTATAACATATACCACAAAAAAAAGTAAAAAGGCAAAGTTATAGGCACAAATTAAAGCAATCGCATTCATAAAACTAGTAATAATCCTTTTCGGATGTACCAAAAAAAGTAGTAATAATATAATACTACCTCTGTCCCACTAATATTGGGACAGAAGTGAGTGACATGATTATTAAGAAGAGTGAGTTTATGTGATTGATATTGATTGATAAAGTAAGAATGAAGTAAAAATGATTTTGAACCAAACAATATATACATAATTGGGTATGAGACAATTTTAGTGTGATTTCTCGAAAAATTAAAACGGGACAATATTAATGGGATGGAGGGAGTAATAATTAAATGTTGTAACTATTTTACAAAATTCTATTCTTTTTTACATCATTGACAAAAACACGCTTTGATATTTATATATGTAGTACTTCTTGCATATTACTAATCTTTCGAACTACGAAGTATTTCAAAATCCATTTTTTTGAGATTTTTATTTTTACTATTTTGCAATTATGCAATTTAAGAATGTGAGGCTAGAGTATAAGATAAAGATTATAAAACCTTAGAATTTATGTGTTGAAATTTAGAATTTATGGTTGAAGAACTAAATTGAAAAATTGAAAAAGAAAGTCTATGATAGAATATTTGTTTGACCTTTTACTCATTTAACTTTATCACAAAAATACAAACTCAAAAAATAGCCATTTGTTTCTCAATTAAATTCTTAGTTTAACTTCATCATGTTTCGGGTAAAATAACCTTTTTGTTTGACTTTCCAAATATACTCTTGTGGAAAGTATGATATAAAAAATAATATATAAGGTTGTTCGCGATGGTAGGGGTGAAAAGCCTAAATTTGAGATTTCCAACCATTTTTTTGTATTAGAAAGTTTTATAGTGGATTGGGGTCACCGGTCACCAATGGGGGTGGGAAGCTGTAGGTAGGATGTTTTTACTTGACTAGAAATTTCTGGTCTGGTCGAAACTGGTTTGATAAATGTCTGCTCTCTGAGTATTTTATAATTATTCAAATTTGGTCTGTTCTGGGACTGAAAACAATGCAAGTAAAACATCCATAGTTGGCAGGTGGAAGAGGAAAGCTGAAGCTGGGCCCACTTGAAATAATATCCCCAATTTGCTTTAAAGTGTTACTCCCTCCATCCCATTCAAAGGTTCTCACTTTCCCTTTTTGGACGTCCCACTTAAAGGTTCTCACTTTCTATTTTAAGAAACAATTAATACTCTGAAATAAAAATTTAATCATCAAATAATTAAAATAATACATTTATAACATCACAATTACCATCAATAACCCATTGTATTATATATTCATCAAAATTCTTTCTCAAAATATACTCAAATTAGCATAATTATTTATTGTCAAAATAATCGTGTCATTTTTCCATGGGAACCTTTGAATGTGACGAATGTAGTATAACTTTTTCATTCATATGTCAATTTTTATAAAAAAAAATATCAAAATTCATGATTTTTTATACTCTTTCATGTGACACCAATATTGTATATATTCAATTTCTAAAAAACTATATAAAATTTTATCAATTGGATATTTTAAGGTTCAATTTGTTTAAGTAAATCCAAGTGTTAAAATTATAATCTCATGGTTAATTTTTTTCTCTACATCTCTGAGTTACTTTTTTCAAAAATAGACCTGAAGTAACCCAAAAAAATTAAAGTCTAAATTTATTTATTTTTACATCAGAATGTTTGACTTTTTAAATCAAAATTATTCACAAAAATTATTTTGATAAAATATTGATGTATAATAATATGAGTGAGGATCTAATAAAAAAACTTTGTTGTGTGAATATATTGACGATGCTGGACTACAGAAAAAACTAAATTGATTGAGCGAATACATATAAAGTGGTGAGAATTCAATTTATTAACAGAAAGTGTTGTGATTAGCCTGATAGTTAATGATGTATTATTCATAGAAGTAGAAGGATATTATATCATCAATATTATAAAAAAGGAGAAATAAAAACTTCTTGTGGGCCATTTATAATAGAAACAATTACAACATCTTGATTAGAAATAATAATGTGATGGACAATTACGCATGAGTGCCCCATATGGGAAACCCTAAAAGGGTGAGCAACGATTGGGTGAGGAACGACGAAGGTTCTTGTCCGTACGTCTAAGCTTCAACGCTTATTGAAAAAAATGGTCTATACACTCGTAAGAGTGGTGTATTAATTCTTCCCTTGAATTCCTAGGGTTCTTCTTCTGTCAATTTTGACAATGGTGTTATGAGTGGTTTCTTCTCAAGTTAATGATGCTAGTGCCTACGTACAAAGTGTTATACTATTGTTCAATTGCCATTGATGACATTCGTCGAGTTACGTTTTAGATATGCGTTTTTCAAATACCATCGTGCTTCTCAACCCATCTATGGTGACATCGTTGATCCGCCCTCCTCCAGAACCACTGCCACAGAAGGAAGAAGTAGTACAAAATTTTCATCAACATATTCAATACAAGGCTGAAATAATGTCATTGGCATTCAGAAAGTCGAGACCAGTCTGCAGGTACAATGGAATCAGATTGGGACGCGATATAACTAGAAATTGATAACTTGTTGCTTTCTTATTTCAATATGTCAGTGTTTTTGTAGTTACACCTACTTGAGTATTTTGCATTATTTTTTATTTCAGTATAGAAACATGAAGACTTACACGGTGATGTTAAACTTCAGTTTATCCATTACATGGCTAGTGACTTCTGCTGCTCGTTTGTGGGTAGCAGAGTCAAAGTGTGATCATTGAGTGTATGTCGGAAACTGGTATGATTTTGAGTCTATTTTAATATGGTTTGATTTATTGATTTAGATATAAACTATTTCGTTATTAAAAAAATTACGCATTTAAGATTTAAATAATGTTGTTTACAAAATTTGGCATCTTAACTTATACTCCCTCCGTCCCAATATAAAAAACACATTTGCGTTTCTAGACTTTTTAAGGGTGAACACTGTTTGAACACTGTTTGGCACTGTTTAGACACTGTTTGACACTGTTTGGACACTGTTTGGCACTGTTTGACACTGTTTTGTTTGCCAAAAAGAGAAATGTGCCTTTTATATTGGGACGGACCGAAAAGAAAAGTGTGCCTTTTATATTGGGACGGAGAGAGTATTTTTATAAATAAAATTTATTTGAATAAAATTTCATTAGTAGAGTAAAGGGAGTATGTACTTCTCTTTTGAAATGACAGAAACACCCAATATTAGCCCACACGGGCATTTAGAAGCCCATGTGAGATTGCAACTCCCGCATACCTTCTGGTAGGCCTGTCAATGGGTCGGGTCCGGGCCGGAATGTAGTGTACCGGACCCGGACCCGCTAAGTGAATAAGGGACCCAGACCCAGACCCGTTTACCTGCCGGGTCTGAAATTTTGGACCCGGACCCGGACCCAACGGGTCTCGGGTCTGGGTCGGGTAGACCCGCTAAAAATGAAACAGAATCTATATATGAAACATAGAGTAATTGCACAAACTAGCTAAGCTTATTAATCATCATTAACAATCAACAAAATTCAAAAGCAGATCATATCCTTGCTTTTCAAAAGACAAAACTCAGAATTCACATAGAAATCCAATGGTTTTATCCATAGTGAAAGTTTTTGATAATAAAATAAACAAAACTCAAAACAATATCCTAAGCTTTAAGCTTGCATCTTTCTGGAGGACCATCTCAAAATCAGCCATGAATATGTTAGATATTAGGATTTAGTTCACTGGCTTTGCCTACTGACTTACCGAGCCCATAAAGTCCATAAGGGTTAGTTTGAGTATAATATTGATTATTGAGCACTAGTTTTAAAAAGTTTTTGTAACTACTAAGCCCACTACCGTAAGAGTATTACTATATTAGTTTGACTATGGATACTGGTCACTTATTTTAGGCTTTTAGCTACGTATGTATTACGGAAATATAAAGTCATATATTACTATATTAGGAGTAGGCGGTATATTGTACGAAGTACTCCCTCTGTCCCGTTATGATTGTCCCATTTTACCATTTCGGTCCGTCCCACTAAGATTGTCTCATACCTTATTTGGTAAAGTTTGTGTGGTTCTAAATCATTCATACTTTATCAATTCAATATCAACCACATAAACTCACTTTTATTAATAACCGTGCAACCTTCTCTTGTCCCAAACATAGGGGGGCGGAGGTAGTATATATTAATAATTCTAAACGGGTACGGGTCCTTAACGGGTCGGAATCATGTGTACCATACCCGACCCATTTATAAAAAATACTAACGGGTCCGGGTTCGGGTCCGGGTAAACGGAATAAAATATAGACCCATACCCATTAAAAAAACTCGGGTCCGGGTCGGGTCCGGGTCTAGATCCGGCCCATTGACAGGCCTACCTTCTGGCTTCTGCTGAACCTCTACCCGACTCGCTTGGTCCAGCCTGACGCCACAAACCCGGCCAATTCACCGGCTTCCAGACGCCGATGCTCAGCCTCTTCCGACAAATAACACCACCGAAGCCATACTTATATCGGCGGTGCCCGAGGTCTTTGACCGTGTATCTGGTCAACGGTACGCCACTCGATCAATCCTTCCCTTCTGTGAGAATTTGATTTGTTTAAATGCTTGTATTTAACAAAACCGGAAGGCCGATTCTCCACCATTTCGGATTTATGAAATTGAGCACTCTTGTTATACTTGTATGGAGTTCATGTATCTACTCTCGTCTCTCGTTACCTCGTTTTGTGAGCAGTATATGTGTAGTGTTGTGGATTCCTGTATATTGTTGATTGTTTCTTCCATTTTCATATAGTGCAGTTTGATTTTTATAACCAATTGATTAATAATGCAGTTTTTGTATTATTGACAATTTGAGGGTGTTTGTGGTAGTGGTTATTCAGCTTAAATGGCCAAATCACCTGATTTTTTGAAAGGAAAGGCATTTTCCCTTAGGTAGCATCCATTTCACTTGGGCTTGGATGTTGTTGTTGTAACATCCATTGCACCCTATAAATAAACAAGTAAAAAGCTACTTTTTTTGCTTAATAAGCCACTTTTTTGCTACCAAACGCAGTTTAAAGTAAAATCTCTAGTCCCATTAAGTGAAATCATGACTTCGTAATGTCCTTAGATTCATGGAAATATTAGTGTACTTGTTCAGTTTGCAGATATTGCTAATGAAAACATTTTGTTTTCAGTTGGTTCTAGAGTTGTTACTTCCTGGTTTAGCCAAGCTACTTCAGCTGTAAAATTATGGATAATCTGCAAACAGGAAAAGATGATGAGCAATCGAGAACAGGGGAGATGCAAGGGACAGGATCGTCGAATGGTAGTTTGGTGGGAAGGATTCAACAACAGTATAACAAGATAAAAGAGAATGCAGAAACATACCCTTATGTATGGGGTTCATATATAGCAGTATATGGGGGCTTTGGGCTTTGGCTTGTATATAGAGGTATGAAACTCCGCAGAAAAGAAGACAGGGTTCGTGCTCTTCAAGAGCAACTGCGCAAGCTTGTTGAATCTCAAGAGAGCGAAAGCTCATCTGTCGCTGGATCTAGCATGATCCACCCCCCAAAGGATAAAAACACTGGCTAGCTGATTTGTTATGTTCTCTTGAAGCTCATCATTGTTATTATTTTTGAAATATTCCAGTTATATCCACTATGACAATTTCATTATTGGTTACTGTTTCTCTTTCACCTCACTTTTGGTGTGTGATTATGAATTTCTTGCCATTTATGGTCCTCCCATGTACTGAATCCCTTATCCCGTCAATTGTATAATTTCTTATTGTTTTTTCACCGGAGAAGGGTGTAAAGTGTTATGAAATTCATAGTCATGCATCAAAATGTAGAAAATCTATATAGCTGGATTGAAAGTGAAAGTGACCAATAGACTTGAGACAGAAACTCAGAAAGTAGAGAATTGAATGTAACCTACATTTCTTCCATGTTTTTTCTGTAAGTTTTCATTTGTTGCTTGTTGGACCCTACAGTGTCATCTTGGGATGGGTTGGATGGCTCAGATTTTCTCACCTTACTCCGTTAGACATCCACATGCTCACTAGTGCTTGACACCCTTTGTTTTGTAAGCCTCATTTCAGTATATAGTGAGTTGGCACTTGGCAAGAGTAGTATTATAGCCCTGAATGTAATTGTTTAGGGTGGATGCACCTCTTTGGGTCTGTTTGCAACCCATTAAAAAAGTGCTTTTAACTTTTAAGCACTTATTTTACCAAACACTACCAACTTTTACTTTCTCGGCTTCCGTGTAGAATCTACTTTTTACTTTTTCTATTACACAAAAAGCACTTATTTTACCAAACACTACCAACGTTTACTACTAATCACTTTTTCCCCAAAAATGCTTTTATTTAAGCAGAAGTGGTTGCAACAAAGCTTTTATCTGTTAAGTCGTTAACTGCTTTGTGTTTTGTACTTGCAATCAGCAACCCCTTTGAAAAATCTAATGAACTTGCTATTCAGCTTTCCTAAGACTGATGAAATGGTCATAGTTTCATAGATGTCATGTCGATGGCGTGAGCCATTAAGCCATATGGCGATATGAAGGTCCTTCACCACAAAAAAAAACTAAATGGTGATGACTAAGCACGTGGCGGCACCAAATTTGACTCATTGCCATTCCATGTGTGCCATTTTTTAAACATTTTTTGGGTTACTTTTGGGCTTTTGACCTGATAATTAATTAACCAATCAGCCTGTTAACATGACTTTGGTTACATATTAAGCAACCAGCCCATAATATTACTAAAATCCGTAATGTGAAGTACATAAAGTTAAAGACACCAATTAATCTAAAGTAAGAGAAAGTTGTACAACTAACGTTAAGCCAAAGTCTGAATCATATGTTTCGAACTATTTAGTACCAAAGCCAAAAAATGCGGGTATTGAACTATTTAAACTATTTCATTTTCACATGTTTTGATTAGAATGTGATTATTCAACTTTTTTTGCTGATCTTTTGGTGGTCAGAATCATATATTTATATCCCTCATATATTTATACTGTAGTGTTTATGATTCATATATTTAATATTTATTTTTTGTGTCATGTGACATAAATGCCTCATCACCATTGCTATCACGAAAAAATGCTAAAGGTACTCCAATTGGTACCCCAATTTGTACCTCATCATATTTTTGTGGCTCACAAAAGCACCTCATTAAAGTGGGGCAATTCATTTATTGAGGTGGGCTTTTGTGAGCCACAAAAATAGGTTGAGGTACAAACTGGGGTACCAATTGGGATACCTATAGCAGGGTTGTTGCTATCACCATGTAACAATGTTCCAGAGCTACTATTGTTGTCATACATCATGACAAGTTGACAACTGTGTATAGTTTATAATTCGTTATTCGTGTAGTCAATCTTCAAATTTCGATGTATCAAGTCTGAGTGGGTTGGAGTGAGGGTCGCAGCTTACCTGGGATAAGGCACCAGTCAGCACTTTGTAGCACAAATTATTTATGAGGTTAAAAGATATACTTGTAAATAGTACGTAGTAATTGGTCATGGAGATGGCAGAACAGCAGAACTCTCACTCTTCTAAGCCTAATCTTTATGTCAAGAAGTTCGTATTCATACGTATTTCAACCTTCAGTTACCAAAATCAAATTGGTTGAAATGGTCTTAACCATCTAAGGGACTAAGGGGGTGTTTGGATCTGATTCTCAAAACTGATTCTGCTCCTTCAGGGAGCAGAAGCAGAAGCTGGAGTGTTTGGGTGAAATTCCAGAAGCACTTCTGGAGCTCTAATTTATTCTCAGAATCAGTTTTTTTAGAAGCTGAGGGGTACGAGCTTCTGAAAACTGATTCTGATTCTGCTTCTGCTTTTAAAAAAGAAGCAGAAGCAGAATCAGTTCCAACTTCCAAACACCCCCTAAAACTCAATGTAGATGCTGCGTTTTTATCTTCCACATCTGCAATAGGAGCCAGGGGTGTAGCTCGGAGGGGCAACCCTGACCCATTCCAAATTTTAAAAATATCTATGAACTCGTTCGGTGACACGAAAATCGGTTGATTCTGCTGAAAAATTGGTTGATAAGCCTGATAAGTCGAAAAACTGTATTACCAAACGGCCTCTGTATTTTGAAGGTAAAAAATTCCGTGATTTCCCCCCAAAATATATTTTTAGTACTGACTCAGTCTGGTCCAATGTTCTCGCTCCGCCTCTGGGAGGAGCAATAATGAGAAACCATTTGAGACAGTGGAGAAACCTCTGGGTGGTACCTAAGCTTACCACCGACCTTCGGTGCACTTGAGTTGGGGGTATATAAAACAACACAAGTGGAGACAACGGAACCGAGATGGAAACTGTGGAAAGTCTTGCTGGGTGAAACCGGCATATTCATGGATGCGGCATTCGACAAAAGCTGAAAATGTTGGGCGGACAGAACTTTCAACTCTCAGAGATGGGTTTTAAGTCTTAGGGGGTGTTTGCAAGAGTGTTTGCGTTTGCTTATACTTCTTAAGAGTGATTGAGTGCTCTTCATGTCAGGCCGGCCTGACGGGCTGCCCCGTCCGGCTAAGCCCGTTTGGGCACCTTCCCGGTGGAATTTTTTGATGAAATTTTTTGAGCATGTTCCTCATCAAGTCTAGTTTATCCGTACCAAATTTCAGCTCAAAATTCGATAGGGAAGGCATTCAAATCATTTTTGGAAGTTGACTGCGTCAAAATATACATAGAAAACTGCAGTCAACTTCAAAAAATGATTTGAATGCCTTCCCGATCGAATTTTGAGCTGAAATTTGGTATGGACAAACTAGACTTGATGGGGAACATGCTCAAAAAATTTCATCAAAAAATTCCACCGGGAAGGTGCCCAAACGGGCTCGGCCGGACGGGTCAGCCCGTCAGGCCGGCCTGACATGAAGATTTGTCAAGAGTGATTTATTTAAAAGATTATTTGAAAAGTGATTTGTAGTAAAAATAGACAGTGTTTGTAAACAGAAGTGATTTTAATTAAAAGGTAAAAGTTGAAGTGTTTGATAAAAATTATTTTTGATGGATCTTTTTGAAATGATAGTATATTTTGTTAAAGTACAAAATTGTCCTTGCATAACAAAATTGGAGCCCCATGGGTTCTTCCTATTCTTCCCTCCGGAGGTGTCAATCCCCTGTGCTCGCAAGTCTGTGACTCTGTGCAGAAGCTGTACCCACAAAGTTTGACCCGTTACCCAGGGGCGGATCCAGGAATGAGGGGTGGGGTGGGCTAAGTAGTAAAAAATTTCGTTATTGCATACAAAAGGTTTAGCTTAGGACTGATAGTTATTGAACTGAGTTTTTTTTCGAACTACTCGAGTTCGATTATGATTTCGAATTTAATTTAATGACCAAAGCTTAATGAGCTTCAATCTCGAACACGGGCTAAATTTTAGTTTAAATAGTTTGTTTTTACAAAAAAAAAAGGCCGTTATTTTTTTGAGTTTGAATAGTTATTCAAGCTGAATTCGAGCATAGTCATGTGCAGTTCGATCTGGACTCGAACATATTCATAACTTACAAATTATAGAAATAAACTATATACTACCTCCGACCTTTATTAAGACTAATTTGACTTTTCAATACATAAAACTAATAAGTATTCCCAATTTTAAAATTGAATTGAGATTTTGAATCCATTCTTACATGCCTAAACAGTAAATACATCGTTCTCTATTCTTTAATTGCATTATAAATAAATCATTTTCTAATCTTTAATTCTATCTTTAATCATTATAAATTTATAATAATAAATAAAAACTATTTTACTATCTACTGAAAAAATTCAATTAATACTCAAATAGAATTACAAAGTTGGTAGGCTTGGGCTGGGCTAGACATTAGTTTTGAGGTGGGCTGGAAATTAAACCTATACCTATAATAATAAAAATAAATTGGGCTGGGCTGGGCTGGAGCCCACCCCTGCCCCAACATAGATCCGCCCATGCCGTTACCCACATCGAATTCAGTTTCTCCAGAAGAAATTGGATTAATAGTAGAGGAAGATGGGACACAGAGTTACGAAAGGCTAGAAACAATATTGCAATAACTAGTACGGAGTAATTGGAAGCATTGCCCATAGGGAGATGTAATGAGGGACTGATGGAATTAAGAACGGTAATTGAGAGGGAAGAATTTGGAACAAAGAGAAATGGGCCGAATTGAAGAAGAGGTAGGTTTGCAAATCAAAGGTATGGACATGGCAGACTTGAGGAATGCAGTGAGTGGTTGAACGAAGAACGGGGCAGGGATGAGGGGAGGGTTTGTTTGGGTTTAATTGAAATATTCAACCTAATAATTATCCCTAAAGTTTGAATTATTTACAAAAATACCAAAAAGCTATTAAAAGCACCTTCCAACCTGCTTTGAACTTTTACCCTAAAAGTACTTTAATTAATCAGAATTTTGGGTTTGCAAACACCCTATATGAATTTTTTTGAAAGAAAAGTTCAAAAGCATTTTTAGTAGTTTTTGCAAACACACCCTTAATAAGGTGTTTTTCAGCTGTTGGCTTAAAAAAATTGAAATGAATGTTTTCAAGTGACAGGTATTGCTAAAATTAAGAACTTAAAAGCTAAAAGCTACAAGCAGGTTGAAGGTATGTTTGGCACAACTAGTTGAAAAGATACTTTTGTGAGCTTTTTAGTAACTGTTAGCTTTTAGTGACTGAAAAGATCTTAAAAAGAAAAGGTGATAGCTGTTTGGTAAAAAGCCGACTGTTTGATTTAGTTCGGTTTGGTATACAAGCTGTTAGGACTAATTAATACTAAAAGTCACGAGCTTTTCTCAGATGCTACACCTGGTAGCATCTCAAAAAAGATCTTTTAATTTTTGGAAAGCTCTTAAAAAATGTCATGCCAAACATACAACTAGAGTCTTTTAAGGTTTTTTTTAAAGAAAAAAGAAGCTAGAAGGCAGAGACTTTTGTGTGCCAAACATGGCCTGAGAGGTGCTTTAAGTGCTTTTCATTTTATCTAATACACAAAAAGTACT